CACTCCGTTCAATACCTCCTCTTTATTTTTCTAGCATATGTATTGGGAGGGGGGGAGAATGTGAGCAAGCTGGCAGCAGTGGCTTTAGTAAACACTTGAAGGGGCTTGGAGTTCCTCCTACGATGACGCCCAATAGGCTTTCTACAACAAGAATCTTACTGTGGCACGGAATAAAAATCACCAGGAAAAACTTACCTTTAACACAAAAGGTACAGAAATTTAAAAAAAAAAACAGCGCCAAAGGAGAAAAGAATAAAGCAAAATAACTTTGGGGAAGGTAAGAGGGAAGCACAGAAATGGTGAGACAAAGGGTGAACAAATGCGGCTTGATGCCCACTAAACACTGTTGACAATGAATTTGTGGGTGAAGGAGGTCGGGAGGGGGAAAAATGGGAGAAAGGGAGAGGCCAAGTGACCCTGTTCAAAAAGAAATGGACTCATTACTTGACTTATGTAATTGTAATCTCTCTGCACATCACATTCCCAATATAAACAAACCAACAAATAAAACCACCAGGAAGAGAAGAAAGGAAAATTCTTCTTATCTATACAGCCAAGAGATGGCCACCCACCCACAAGGTCACCATTGGGAATCTTCTTCAAGGTGCCTGAATCATTAGGAGTTCTACGGGAGCCCACATGTTTTCTGGTCATTTTGGAAGGGAGTGTCTATCGCAGTTTCAGCAAGCAGAGCATTGTCTTTACCTTCCTTACAAGTGGTTCCAGTGCAGTCCACAGCTGAACCCAGGCCACATTTGACATATCAAAGAGACATGAGCCATGAGTATGCACCAGGAAATACCTAGGCCCCTTGGTTCCAAGCAAAAGCTTTTGTATGTTTTTGATAGGCCATGCAATGAATTTTACCAGAAATAGAGGTCAAAGAAGAAGTTGTTTGCAGTACTTACACAAAGTATATGCCATAGGGTGTGAGTTTGAGCCTGGAAAGGAGCATCCTTTTTGAATCCAAAACAGTATCCTTGGAAGGAGAATCTTTCCCTCTGCTTTCCTATGCATTTGCTGACCATACTTCAGTCTTCAGTGTATTTTGAATTGACTCACGATGTTTATATACGTTACAAGTTCCTTAGATCTTTGGAAACAATAACACCAAGAAACTGTGAACCACATCCATTGTACTCTAGTGAACTAGTGTCTCTCACTGACCATCTCAATTTTTTCCAGTAGTGATACAGGTGCCATGCCACATACACTTGGTTGAAACTTTTGGAATGAAAGGTTCTGGACAGGAGTGGAGTCTGGCATAGACTCAAGCCCCAGGCATCCCCCAGGAGTTGGTGGAGAACTGGATTCCCTAAAAAAGACAATCTGGTCAGACTTAACCCGTTGTTCTCTGAGAAAGAGAAGTTCCAGTGTGACTGCTGCTCACCACAGTGACCCAGGGCCCAGTGGCAGGATGCCTGCCCTGTGCCCTGACAAGTCCCACCTGGGAGAGCGTCTGTCCTGCCTCCAGGCCAGTTCAGGCCTGCCATTGTACACAACAACCCTTGTTTCCTCCTCTAACAAGCAGCTCAGTATCCAACCACCATGGGACCCAGTCCGAGAGGCACAATGGAGAGGAAAGCTGCCGAAGCAAGCATTTGGAAAGGAGCAGAGATCACAGCAGGCAAAGCAGCCATGAAGATGTGTCTGCAAGGAGTCCTTAGCTGGGTTCAGCGAAGAGAGGCCAGCGCAGGAGGGCGGAGCACTTCCATAAAGCTGCCTGTGGTGGATAGATGGCTTCTGATTTGACATTGGCAACAGAATAAGGGACTGCAAGTTCAATGAATAGTCTCTGGCCAGAGAAACAAGGTCAAATGCTTAAGTTTCTGCACTTCCAGTGGTTCCTGGTATTTCCAGCTGAGTGGACACCTTTCTGTGACCAGTGGGTGCCACCCCACCTTCTGCGGAGTCTGCGTGAGAGATTGTGTTGGACAAAGAGCTTCAAGGAAGCATGCCCCCAGGAAGGGGGTGTTGGTTCAAGGCTTCCCAAACACTTGGCTGCACCTTTATAGCCTCTACCTTTATTCTTACTATATTCTTCTTGGCTGTACATTCGTTGCCTTTATTCTCATTTTGGCTATTTTTCTACTGATCCGCGAACAGACCATGTTGTATTTTTCCAGTCCAATAGAGATGGCTTCTCTAAGTAATAAAGACTAAGGCCAAAGATTAAATGTGGGCAATCCCCCAATCAATCTATCATCTGATGTGACGTTGCCTCCAGAAACTCCTACAACTTCACAAGCGGTTTTGCAGCTCACGCATAGTAAATATAGAGACTTAAAATTTCTAGATATGTCCAACAGACAAAATCAATAATTTAAAGTAAGTTAGAAAGAGCTATCCTAGTAGTTTAGAGAGTTCTAAAAAGAAGAGACCTCTGATTATAAAAGAAAAAGAAAGATTCTCCCAACAGTTATGATTAAGTTTAGTCCAACTTACGTTATAGGGAATAGATGGTGTTTTCACACAAAATATAAAGTTAGTAACATATGTCCTGAACCAACCAATAACCATTTCCTTATACAGGAGCTTATAAAGATGAAGTTAGTTGGATAAAAATAAAATTAAAAAGAGTACAATGTAAGTACAGCCCTGTTTTAGGTTTGTTAATTATTAAACATAAAAAAGTTGAATAGATGACATATTCTATTAAACAATATGCTAGACTTGTTTCGCACCACTTAGCTTAAACAGTTGGTGGGATAGTCATTAATTTTCATGTAATTCATCAATGCTTTGCCTTTAAAAAAATTGATTACGTGCTTAAATAAACAAAGAATCAAAATGTTAATTCTCCTCAATAAAGATACACTCAGATGCAACTCTTTTGAGTCTGTGTCTGTTTGTCACTTCGCCGACTCCTTTGCCCACCTATCCTGAGATCCCTGTCCCGTCGGTCCCAGTGCTCCGGCCGAGCTGGTCCGTCGCATACAGGGTATTTCCTGATACCCTACATCACTATTTTGTACTTTGTTCATTGTTTCTTGGGTATCCCCTGGCACAGACTTAATGAGTACTGGGTAGCTAAATTAAGGAGATATTTCAAATCTATTTGAAAAAAAAACAAGGTAGAAAATACTTGGATGTTCCTGTTTGATTCAAAAGCTTTTGGAAAAAATATCACTGATTTCTGGCAAGAAAGTTATCTTCAGCATTTTTCCTCCATGCAAACAAGAAGCCAAAGTCCCATTGGAATGAGAAGCTAAAATCCTGGGAATAATCTGTATTTTCAACTTGCTGAAAACTCTGAACTAGTCATATACTGCCTTGTACCAGACATTTTAAAAATGAAGGTGTAACTGTTAAAGTAAGCATTATTTTTAACATCTTGATAAAGTAAAAAACAATAGTAGAAAGATGTTCTTACTTTATATACTTTGGGTTTGTGGGAGAGATACTGGGTATAGAAAGTAACTACATTTCCTAGTGAGAGTCTGAATATTTAGCAGCATGACTATCTCTAAGGATCAAGACTAAGGGGCTGAAACTGGCATAACCAAGTACTAGAATGATTTTGATATTTAGTATTTTGAAGTCATTTGTAATAGTGGAACCTATATAAAAAGACAAAAGGAAATCAGCCCAATAAAAAACCAGAAAACAGGTCATGAGAATGAGAGTACTTAGAGTAGCTCTGATTTCTGGACTGGAATTGTTAGCCAACCTGGAGCTATGAAGGTAGAAGACTCGCTTGTGATGTTTATACAGATAGAAAGCCATGTAGCCACTGCTGCAGGCCATGAGACTCTGAAAGATCACATCCCGAAGAGCCATGAGGGAGAGGAAAAGCCACCTAACTATTTGCGTAGATGGTAGCATATAACAATACAGAGCATGCCTTTTAATTCCAGATCTGTTTGTGCTACTGGCTGCTTTGATATAGTGGAGCAAGTTAAAACTCACCAGAGAATTAAAGATCCAGAAGAAGAGGAGATAGGGAAGAACTTGCCATGCCGTCTGTGGTTTGAGCTTTCTCCACTGGGTGGTCCTGGGACTGATGGTGATGGCCTGGACCACACTGAGGAAACAGGTGGTGCAGATGGAAAGGCCTCGAGCCACTCTTCCCAGATAAATCAAAAGTTTACAACCTGTATTGCCTATAAAGCTTCTGAAAGGGAAAAGTATGGCTATGTCTCTGATAACTGTGCTACAGATAATGATCCCATTAGAAAAAGTCAAGTGGATGAGGATGAGGTCTATAGGCTTTTTGTCAGGACCTGTGAAAAAAGTGTACACATGTCTCACAAATACAAGGATGTTGCCCACAATTCCAGGTCCAGTAAGAGAAAGGAAGATTATCCTCTGAATGATGTTACTCCACATCCTCTTTGGACTTCATGCTCAGCACTAGGAAATACATTTTGAGAAACACAAATGAGTGGAAAGGCATGCTTCGGGTGTATTGATATTCTCTGTGTTTAGTGAGAACAGTTTCTGAAATACATGAACATGCACACTTATTTCCTAACAGGCACATGATATCATGGTTTGCTTTTCTTCATCATCTTTTCTTGCTGCCTCTCATATGGAAATGATGATAAATACAATTTGGACAAATTCTATGTGAGCACTTCCACCTGCTTTCCCAAACACCCTTCTTTGTATCATATATGTCTAATATTTACATGATGATTGACTTGATAGACAAGAGCTAAACAAAGAGCATCATCATTCACTAATTTCTAACCCATTTTCCTGAGAATCAGCTTAGATGTCTCCCTCTATATAAAGTGAATACCTAATAAATTATCTGACTCTCATGGATTTTGTTGGTTCTCTATCCAGGATGTTTTCCCATGTTATTCATGTTCATTCTTCAAAAAAAGCACATTCATTCCTCAAACAAGGAATTTGTAGCTTCTCTGGAAATTATACCTCGCCAAATTGAGAGCTTTGCAGGGAGATCATGCAAAGTCCCCTTTCTCCCAACCGAGTTTAGACCTTGGCCATAAATGCAACACAAGTGGTTTAATGTCAGAGAACAATCCAGTTCCCATTACCTCAAGGTAAGAGTAAGATAATTAATTTGTGCTCACAATCTTCTACATATGCAGAACCAGATTGCAGCTGACTTTGTTCTCACACATACCCTAGTTTGGCTCTTCAATTTCCTGAGAGATCTCCCCTAATGAAATGTCATGAAAAAACACCCACCACTTTGATATTGAGGTTCTTGTCCTAAGAACTCTAACTAAAGACACAACTTCTGATTCTATATTTTAAATATTGTCAAGTCTAATGTCTATCTGAGTCAGGAATTTCCCTACCTGTAAGTCAATCCCTAGTAGCATCTTACACTGTACATTGTGTAACTACTTTATAAATGTTCTCTATTCCAAATGAATGTTTGAATTGAATAATCTGCTCCTTTTGCTTCAGTTCTTTCAAAACATGTAAAGACAATCTTAACAACATTTGTTCTCTTCAACTCAGAATGCTCTCCTTACCAAAAATATGTATGAATTTATTATAATTCCCAGAAACAAATATAACATTGACACTTACCTTGCCACATGAGTATCCATAATGATCCTAGATTAATCTAACTCAACTAGCATACTATGTGTCTAACTTCTGTCCATCCTTCATAAGTCAGCCTAGAATCTGGCTCCATAAACATTCCTGAACTTATCAGGTCAGGCTATGTTACCTGTGTATCTCCATTGAGAATACCTGGGTGATACTGTCTTTCCTTCTAGTATCTATGATTCTTAACATCTCCAGATAATAAGTGCTCAAAAATAATTTATAATCTCCAGCTCCAGTGTATTAAGCAAAGTGAGCTAGGTTTGGAGGAATAAAGGGTAGATGATTTTTTTTATTTTATTGTCAGGGTGATGTGCAGAGGGGTTACAGTTATATAAGTAAGGTAGTGAATATATTTCTTGTCTAACTTGTTACTTCCTTCCTCATTTTTCTCCTTCTTTCATTGCACCAGGGCAAATGTTTTTATGTCATATTTGAGCTCTCAGGGAGGCCTACACCAGCTAAGAACTGTTATTAGCAGTACTAAATATAGCTAAATAATACAAAATGATTAAAATATAGGGGAGACTATCTAGCTCTGTCTTACTCTGAAATGGTAAAATCTGGCAAACCTTCGTGAATGTGTAGAGACAGAAAGAATGAAGGACAAAAGGATGTCCTGAAGGTTACCTGTGTTTTGGGTAGGTCTCACTCACCTTACCCACTCAAAACAATTGTCTAAGGACTAGGAGTTACTAAACTGAGAAGCACATTCACTCAGCTCAGAAACTATAAAGACTACCAAGAGAAATCATACACACATTCACATTTAAATATGGCAAGTATATATGTATAGAGCATATGTATCTATATATACACATATACACAAATATATATGGTAGATATATATATATATGCACATTTTTTATTTTTATGTGGGTATATATTCCCCATTCTTTTCCAGCACTCACTTTACCTTTCTAAAGTGTCTAAACCTCCTCTAAAAGATAAAATAGCCTTATAGAGAAAAATATAGAAATGAACCAGATATTAAGTTTAAAATATTATGAACCTGCTGATGTCATAATATTCGCTGGTGAAACTGGAGGCTAATGAAAACAGTTTTTGCTAATAGCCTGAAAACTCCTTGCATCTTTCTACCTTTTTGAAGACTACAAGGAAAAGAACTTTGTGGAAAACCTACCCTATAACTCTGATGATGCCAGATGCTAAACATAAAGTCAAAGATGTTCAAGCATTTCTACAGAGAAATGGACAAGACTATGCCCTTAGTTTTATCTGGTATATAGCTTTAGATAATACAAAAGAAAAGAAAATACTAAAATCATAGGTCTTCTCATTAAGTCTTTATAGACTTAGTCAAATATATAAATCATAAACAGATTAGCATTTATACTTCCAAGTGAAACTCGCATGGCACATGTGAAATAAATTAGATTACTGTTAGGTTTACTTACCTTGTAGCTATGGGCTAGACAAGCATTGGGTTAGTCCTTCTGCTATGATGAAGCTTCCCATGTCATATTTGTAACTCAGAATTTGTAGAGTTCTTGTCTCTTATGAAATATCATAAAGACTTTAATTTTCACAGTTATTACCCTGTCAGAGAGAAGGAAACCCTCTGTAGAATCTCTGTCAATGAAATAAAACTTTTCTTCTCCCTCTACAATTAACTACATTTGTTTGGCTCGAAATTATCTCAGACTTAATTAGGGATTCATTATTTTAATAGAATGATGTGAAGTAGGAAAGTCAATAGCAAAGCAAGTTCAACTTCATCTGCCCAAAGTTCTAAGCTATGAACCATCATGGAGAACGGCTTCGGAAACATAATGTGTCTATTTCTTTCTTTCTTTCTCAAGTCATCTTTTAAACACAAGAACTTAATAAATGCTGGTCATTATTAGGGGCTTTGCTTTCAGAGAAAGTCACAACCAGGAATCTGAACAGGACAAGAAAAAAAAAACGGTGCCAGAATTTGAAATCAAAACCTTTCATACTTGCTTGCTTGGCTGGTCTTCTACCACTTGAGCCATAGGGGATGGGGGTCTATGAACTTGGCTGAATGGACTTGCTTCATACCACAATCCTCTAGGTCTTAGACTCCCAAGTAGCTAAGATTACAGGCTTCATACAACAATCCTCTAGCTCTTAGTCTCCTGAATAACTAAGATTACAGGCATGAGCCATCAGCACTTGGATTAAATGGTTGTTTTATTTCTTGTTCATTAAATAACAAATGTGAGTTTAAAAACTGGTGGGAGCTGAGGATGAGGTTCAATGGTAGAGCACTACGAAGTAATGATTCCTCAGCACCACATAAGCAAAAAGAAAAAAGCCAGAAGTGGCGCTGTGGCTCAAGTGGTAGAGCACTAGCCTTGAGCTGAAGAGCTGAGGGACAGCGCCCAGGCCCAGAGTTCAGGCCCCATGACCAACAAAAAAAAAAAAATTAAAAACCATGTAGGCTGTCAGTGATGTAGCTTTTGAGATAAGTATGATTTCTATACCTTGATTTTAGTGGAGGAATCCAGACACAGAAGCATCAGGTAAATTAAACATCTTTTTATTTGATATTAAAAATCACCTTTAGAACCCTAGTACTTTGGTGAGTCTCCACTTTCAGAAATGAGCTCCTAAAAAAAAATTTGTTTGGTTTTTGCTCCATCTTAGTCAATTCCCCTCAAATGGATTCTAGCAAGTCAACAAGAAATATTGCTTAATCTCACAAATTCTGACAGAAGCAACAATGCTTGATAAGAAATGTAATTGTATTGTAATGTCATTATCTTGCCATGTAATTGTAACCTCTCTGTACAGTATTTTCACAATAAAAAAATAAAAATTAAAAAAAGAAATGTACTAATTAACTTGCCCATGTAATTGTAACTCCCCTGTAAGGTATTTTCATAGTAATAATAATAATAAATATTGATTCTCTGCCTATAAATTTCTGTCTTTGGAATGCAATGAAGGATTATGCATATAAAAGGGATGTATATAAGTATTAGTGAATGAATGCAATAAAATATCATAATTTTTCATCTATTTTCCCCATATGGACTTGGACAAAAAAAATCTATAGAAAGAGCTGCCTTTATCTAGAAGAACAGTGAATCACAAGTAAGACCAAACTCCTGGAAAGAATTACTGTGGATTACTGCCAAGGTCTTGAAAGATGTAAGTGGGGTGATGCATATTACATACCAGTTTTACCATTCTATTTTGCCTCGATAGCAGATCAAAATGACCTTGAATGACAGAGGAATCATCATAAAATAATTCAGGTGGTGACAACAATTGCAGCTGTGCTAGAAGAAATGATAACATTGATTTTCTGCATTAACACTTCTACGGTACCTAGTATTAATGCAGCTTTGAATCTCATAAATATCTTTTTCTCTATACCTTTCTAGAAGAAAACAAAGAAGTCTGTTTTTGTTGGCAAGGCCAGCCAACGCCTTGTTCTTCCTTGGAGTAAGTATATCAGAGCCTTGTCCTAATTTAGTTGGCATGGACCATGACTGCATTGGTGTTCTACAATGTATTACACTGGTCCTTTCCATTGAGGATATTAGGATGATTAAACTTAATAAGAGGAAAGTCCAGGCTTAGGTAAAAGAGTTAGAGGAAGAATCAGGGAAGAATCATTTTGGTTTTTTCTCATCTGGCACTTGTTTTGATATCTCTGCAAAAAGCCATGTCAGTCTGTCCTCATAACCAGAATTTTTAGTACTTTTTACTGCAATAAATGTGTAACAATTTTAATCATATCATTCTGTCTTAAATATATATATATATATATATAATATATATAACTATATATCCCTCAGCTTTTT